CAGGGAAGCCTATCCTGCCCTCAGCTAATTATGGAATCTTCTACTCCTCCTACCAGTCCATCCCCCACTACCGTTTGTACCACTAGCCCCTCCCTCTTAGATTGTAAGCTCCCAGGATCAGGGCCCTCCTAACCCTCTTGTATTGAACTGTATTGTTGCTGTATTGTCTCCCGTTATATTGTAAAGTGCTGAGCAAACTGTTGGTGCCATAAATCCTATATAATAATTAGAGATGAGCGAATCGAACCAGGCGAACCGGAATTCGATACGAATTTCAGGAAAAATTCGATTCGCGTCGAATCCGAATATTTGCCTACTTCGGGTGCGCGAATCGGATTTTTCCCGATCAGCCGGCAAAAGTGTTCCTGCAGAGAGCTCCGCTATTTCTGACAGTTCTCTGACAGTTCCTTCACATGTACAGCGGTTGAAACATTGTATCTATTTGTTTCCATTTAGGATACAGATGTTTTTATTCGGAAACAGATACAATGTTTCAACCGCTGTACATGTGAAGGAACTGTCAGAGAACTGTCAGAAATAGAGGAGCTCTGCAGATACACTTAGCGGAGCTCTGCAGATACACTTTTTGCCGGTTTGGAATTCTTATTTTCATCCTACTTCTTCTTCTTCTTCTTCTTCTTCTTCATCCTCATCCTCAGAAGAAGAAGAAGAGGATGAGGATGAGGATGAAGAGGAAGAAGAAAATAAGAAGAATTCCAAGCCGGCAAAAAGTGTATCTGCAGAGCTCCTCTATTCTGCAGATACACTTAAGGAGCTCTGCAGATACACTTTTTGCCGGCTTGGAATTCTTCTTATTTTCATTCCAAGCCGGCAAAAAGTGTATCTGCAGAGCTCCGCTAAGTGTATCTGCAGAGCTCCGCTAAGAAATAGCGGAGCTCTGCAGATACACTTTTTGCCAGCTTGGAATTCTCCTTCTTCTCATCCTTCTTCTTCTTCTCATCCTTCTTCTTCTTCTCATCCTTCTTCTTCTTCTCATCCTTCTCCTTCTTCTCATCCTTCTCCTTCTCATCCTTTCTCTTCTTCTCATCCTCTCCTTCTTCTCATCCTTCTCTTCTTTCTTCTCATCCTTCTTCTCATCCTTCTCCTTCTCATCCTTCTTCTTCTTCTCATCCTTCTTCTCATCCTTCTCCTTCTCTCCTTCTCTCTTCTCTTCTTCTCATCCTTCTCCTTCTCCTTCTTCTCATCCTTCTCTTCTCCTTCTTCTCATCCTTCTCCTTCTCCTTCTTCTCATCTTCTCTTCTCTTCTTCTCATCCTTCTCCTTCTCCTCATCCTTCTCTCATCCTTCTCCTTCTTCTCTCTTCTTTCTCATCTTTCTCCTTCTTCTCATCCTTCTTCCTTCTTCTCATCCTTCTTCTTCTCTCTCCTTCTCTCATCCTTCTCCTTCTCTCTCCTTCTTCTCATCCTTCTTCTCATCCTTCTCCTTCTTCTCTCCTTCTTCCTCATCTTCTCCTTCTCTCATTCTTCTCATCCTTCTCCTTCTTCTCATCCTTCTCCTTCTTCTCATCCTTCTTCTTCTCCTTCATCCTTCTTCTCATCCTTCTTCTCATCCTTCTCTCATCCTTCTCCTTCTTCTCATCCTTCTCCTTCTTCTCATCCTTCTCCTTCTTCTTCTCCTTCTTCTCTTCTTCTCCTTCTCTTCTCTCTTCTTCTCATTCTTCTCCTTCTTCTCATCCTTCTCCTTCTTCTCATCCTTCTCCTTCTTCTCTCTCATCCTTCTCCTTCTTCTCATCCTTCTTCTCTTCTTTCTCATCCTTCTCCTTCTTCTCATCCTTCTCCTTCTCCATCTTCTTCTTCTTCTCATCCTTCTTCTCATCCTTCTCCTTCTTCATCCTTCTTCTCATCCTTCTCCTTCTTCTCATCCTTCTCCTTCTTCTCATCCTTCTCCTTCTTCTCATCCTTCTTCTCATCCTTCTCTTCTTCTTCTCATCCTTCTCCTTCTTCTCATCCTTCTCCTTCTTCTCATCCTTCTCCTTCTCCTTCTTCTCATCCTTCTCCTTCTTCTCATCCTTCTCTTTCTCCTTCTTCTCATCCTTCTCCTTCTCCATCTTCTCATCCTTCTCCTTCTCCTTCTTCTCATCCTTCTCCTTCTCCATCTTCTCATCCTTCTCCTTCTCCTTCTTCTCATCCTTCTCCTTCTCCTTCTCCTCCTTCTCATCCCTTCTCCTTCTTCTCATCCTTCTCCTTCTCCTTCTTCTCATCCTTCTCCTTCTCCTTCTCATCCTTCTCCTTCTTCTCATCCTTCTCCTTCTCCTTCTCCTTCCTCATCTCCAAGGACATTTAAATTAAAGGTACAGTGTTCTGCACTAATATTTAAAGGCTCTCTGAAGCCTAGAAACCCTTTTTATAAGTTAACTTCGTAGCAAATAAATTCGCATCGAATCGAATTTCTTCCTGAAATTCGGCGAATCAGCCGAATCGAATTTTTGAATAATTCGCTCATCTCTAATAATAATAATAAAAATAATTTTGCATTTCCGGGTGGAGGGGTCCCTACCCACGCCGCGGATGTCAATCTCCAGGTCCCGGCTGGTAATTACCCACCAATGCCCGGTGATTACTGAGCATCTCTGACAGGGAGGAGGACTGTTTTGTTTACAATCTTCCTCCCTGTCAGCTCAGGCATACTGTACAGCACAGCCATCCAGAGCAGTGTGATTACAGTGAAGCACACAGACCCCGCCCCATAGTAAAACACTACCAGCACACAGTTAACCCTTTGATTGTCCCTCATGTTAACCCCTTCTTGCCCAGTGCCATTATTAGTACAGTGTCAGTGCTTTTTGTTTAGCACTGATCACTGTATTGGTATCACTGGAGATGTCAGTGACACCAAGTTAGTCCCCCCCCCCCCCGCCAGTGTCAGAATATCCGCCACAGTCCCGCTATAGGTTGCTGATTGCCGCCATTACTAGTAGGAAAAAAAAAAATCCCAGTATCATATACCGCCATTTGTAGACGCTATAACTTTCACGTAAACTGATTACAGGTGTACCTCGGTTTACGAACGCCTCGGTTAATTAAATTTTTGGTTTACAAAATGAAAATCCATTGAAAATAACGCCTCGGTTTACAAATTTTTTTTTGCAATACGAACGGATTAATTGGTTTTCAATGCATTTACAAATTAATTTTCAATCATGTCCCTGTACAGTATTTATATGCCTTTAAAGTGCACTTTATAAAGAGTTTTGAACAGATAAAATACTTTTTTACTTTTTTTTTTTCTGACCTCTGGAATGGATTAATTGTTTTTCAATGCACTCCTATGGGAAACCGCGATTTGATTTACAAATATTTTTCACAATACAATCGGATTAATTGGTTTTCAATACATTTACGAATGAATTTTTAATCATGTCCCTGTACAGTATTTATGCCTTTAAAGTGCACTTTATATAAGACTTTTTTTTTTTTTTTTTCTGACCTCTGGAACGGATTAATTGGTTTTCAATGCATTCCTATGGGAAACCACGTTTCAGTTTACGAATTTTTCGCAATACGAAAAGTCCTGCAGAACGCATTAAATTCATAAACTGAGGTACGCCTGTAATTTACACGTATTGGGATTTTTTTTTTAGGAAAGACATGGAGCAGAATACATTGTTGGCCGAAATTTATGATGAAATTTGATTTTTTTTAATTTTTTTTTAGTGGACATGTTTAATAGCAAAAAGTCCAAAATATAGTTTTTTTTATCAAAATTGTCAAAATCCGTGGGGAAAAAAGGACGCACATTTCATTTGGGTGCAGCGTTGCATGACCGCGCAATTGTCAGTTAAAGTAAGGCAGCGCCGTTACGCATAAAATGGCCTGGTCAGGAATGGGGGGGGGGGGGTGGATCCTCTGGAGGGCGAGGGGTTAAGAAATCAGATTTATATGGGGTGAATGCTCGTTGGGATTGGTTTTACGATTGCTCCTTCGCATGACTATGTCGCTTCAGATTTTTGATGTTCAAAAGACGCCATCACATGAAGGTTCAATCCAATCATTACATTGATGGTCGTCATTAGTCGTATCGAAAGATCGCATCGCGGCATGTGTCGCCATCCTAGATTGTAAGCTCCCAGGATCAGGACCCTCCTATCCCTCTTGTATTGAACTGTATTGATGCTGTATTGTCTCCCGTTATATTGTACAGAGCTGAGCAAACTGTTGGCGCCACATAAATCCTGTATAATAATAATAATATAAATCCTGTATAATAATAACAATATAAATCCTGTATAATAATAATATATAAATCCTGTATAATAATAACAATATAAATCCTGTATAATAATAATAACAATATAAATCCTGTATAATAATAATATAATAATATATAAATCCTGTATAATAATAATAATAATAATAATATAAATCCTGTATAATAATAATATATAAATCCTGTATAATAATAATAATATAAAATCCTGTATAATAATAATAATATAAATCCTGTATAATAATAACAATCTCAATGTATTCGTCTGCCAATTGACACCCCAGGTCACACCAATCCGACTTTGAAATCGTGCGACTCCCAGTGAAGTCGCGGGATTTCAGAGTCGGATGGCGTTCCGACTTGAGGCGCGGCTTGCGAGGTACAGATTGTCTATGCCAGTCGCACCTGAAGTAGTGCGTGCGGCCGAGTCGGGATCGCACCGATGTGACCGCTGTAATTGTGGACAGTTGGGTGCGACTTGCCATGCGATTCGCCAAGCGGCACCCGGTGTGACCAGGGTCTACAAGGGAATCTGTGAACACAAAACCATGAAACTCCGTTCTCTGACTCGGATATCGTGTCTGGGACTGTAAGGGTTAATAAAAAGACAGATGACGTCCTTAGATCTAGTATGTGGGGGCTGCTTCCACCAGAGCCTGATCACACAGGCGTTTTATTTTCTAGTCCTGTCCCTTTAATGCCCTACTGGTTGGGTTGTGCTATATATAGACGGGCCCTCTCTCAGCCCCTCCCCCTCCTCTGTACAGAGCTGCCATGGCTGATCTAGGCTCGGTGGCCGAGGTACACATAGACCCGGAGGGGGTGTTCAAGTATATCCTCATCAGGGTGAGCGCCGAATCACAACCCCACCGAGACATCGTCAGGGGGACCAAGAGTGCCGAGTACCACAGTGAGTGGAGAGGGGGGGGGGCCACACCGCACCATAGGAGAAATGTGTATTGTGCATCCACCCCATGGAGGGGGGAGGGGAATTGGAATAATGAGGGGGGCAGCTGGAATAATGGACCTGGGGGGGGGGGCTGAAACAATGGACTGGGGGGGGGGGTGTGCTGGAATAATGGACTGGACCTTGAAGTTTATCCAACGCCATCACTTATGTAATGATGAAGGTTGTCCCGAAGAAGTAACGGCACTTCCTTGCAGGCTGGCCTGGGGATCCTGCCAGTAACGGCACTTCCTGTTGCGGGCCGACGTGGAGATCCTGCCAGTAATGGCACTTCCTGTTGCGGGCCGACGTGGAGATCCTGCCAGTAATGGCACTTCCTGTTGCGGGCCCACGTGGAGATCCTGCCAGTAACGGCACTTCCTGTTGCGGGCCCAGTGGAGATCCTGCCAGTAATGGCACTTCCTGTTGCGGGCCAATGTCGAGATCCTGCCAGTAACGGCACTTCCTGTTGCGGGCCGACGTGGAGATCCTGCCAGTAATGGCACTTCCCGTTGCAGGACCACGTGGAGATCCTGCCAGTAACGGCACTTCCTGTTGCGGGCCCACGTGGAGATCCTGCCAGTAACGGCACTTCCTGTTGCGGGCCAATGTCGAGATCCTGCCAGTAAGGCACTTCCTGTTGCGGGCCGACGTCGAGATCCTGCCAGTAACGGCACTTCCTGTTGCGGGCCGACGTGGAGATCCTGCCACTAATGGCACTTCCAGTTGCGGGCCCACGTAGAGATCCTGCCAGTAACGGCACTTCCTTTTGCGGGCCCACGTGGAGATCCTGCCAGTAATGGCACTTCCTGTTGCGGGCCGATGTTGAGATCCTGCCAGTAACGGCAATTCCTGTTGCGGGCCGACGTGGAGATCCTGCCAGTAACGGCACTTCCTGTTGCGGGCCGACGTGGAGATCCTGCCAGTAAAGGCTCTTCCTGTTGCGGGCCCACGTGGAGATCCTGCCAGTAACGGGACTTCCTGTTGCGGGCCGACGTGGAGATCCTGCCAGTAACGGGACTTCCTGTTGCGGGCCGACGTGGAGATCCTGCCAGTAACGGGACTTCCTGTTGCGAGCCGACGTCGAGATCCTGCCATTAACGGCACTTCCTGTTGCGGGCCGACTCGGAGGTCCTGCCAGTAACGGCACTTCCTGTTGCGGGCCGACTCGGAGGTCCTGCCAGTAACGGCACTTCCTGTTGCGGTCCGACTCGGAGGTCCTGCCAGTAACGGCACTTCCTGTTGCGGTCCGACTCGGAGGTCCTGCCAGTAACGGCACTTCCTGTTGCGGGCCGACTCGGAGGTCCTGCCAGTAACGGCACTTCCTGTTGCGGGCCGACTCGGAGGTCCTGCCAGTAACGGCACTTCCTGTTGCGGTCCGACTCGGAGATCCTGCCAGCACCTGACACATACTCATACTAGTGTGCTAAATCAGTATTATATACCACAATGTCCCGCGCTTCACACTCAGAGCTATAATTATACTTCTGTTGCATATCAAGAATGTAAAGAATATTGTGAAATATGAAGACAGGAGTAAAATAATAAGAAGCTGTGTCCATATCCAATAGCAGTGTCCGTATGGTTAACAAAAATGTCCATATATGAAATTTCCTCAGACTTGCATAGTTCACCAGTTGTGCTCTCACCTCAGGACCAAACCGTTAAGTAAGGTCATATAACGCTTGTGTCAGTATGGTACCGTTGAGCGTCGTGACGTCAAAGCCCCTCCCCTACGCGTTACACAACCGGTCACGTGGCTTCATCAGCATCATGCTGTCAAAGCCCCTCCCCTACGCGTTACACCACTGGCTCACATGCATCATGCTGTCAAAGCCCCTCCCCTACGTGTCCCCTGGTCACCATAGACCCCCCACCACCACCACCAGTTGTGCTCTCACCTCAGGTATATGACCAAACTGTTAAGGTCATATAACGTTTGTGTCCCTTTAAATGGGCCAGAGTGTTGATGAGATGATATCCTGCTGTTTGGGGTCTTCCTCCACTCAAACAGTAATATGTGCACTCTGTGTAAAAACTGCTTTGTTCAGAAAATGTGTCCTCCAGAACTTTTCCTGTGGTGAAACACCTAAAATTTGCCAGGTGGTGTCAAAATGGTACCATGGAGCTTTGTGACGTCAAATCCCCTCCCCTACGTGTTACGCCACTGGTCACATGGCTTCATCAGCGTCGTGACATCAAATCCCCTCCCCTACGTATTACGCCACTGGTCACATGGCTTCATCAGCGTTGTGACGTCAAATCCCCTCCCCTACGTGTTACGCCACTGGTCACATGGCTTCATCAGCGTTGTGATGTCAAAGCCCCTCCCCTACGCTATACACAACCGGTCACGTGACTTCATCAGCATCATGCTGTCAAAGCCCCTCCCCTACGTGTTACGCCACTGGTCACATGGCTTCATCAGCGTCGTGATGTCAAAGCCCCTCTCCTACTTGTTACGCCACCGGTCACATGGCTTCACCAGGGGGAATTGACTGAAGCCATGTGACCAGTGGCGTAACGCGTAGGGGAGGGGCTTTGACATCATGACGCTCAGTGGTACCATACTGACACCAGCTGGCAATTTTAGGGAGAGTTAGTAGGAATTGATGTTATTGGCAGGATCTCCAGGTGAGAAACTTTGCAACAAATTCACAATAATGATTTGCTTTACCCCGGGTTCACACCTAAGCATTTTCCGCTGCATTTTGCAGAAACGCAAAGCAGTCCATTTCACGTGATTTCCTATGGGACACGTTCACATCTCTGTGTTTTTTGGAAAGGGTCAGCCCGGGTTCACACTGATGCGGTGCGGAATTCAGTGTTTTCTGTGCGAATTCCGAACCGCATCACCATCGCACCCCCCGTCGTGAACCTCTGTGGGTGTGTATGTTAACACCCCGACATCGGTCCGCAAAACACTGTTCGATGTGCAGAATCAGATCGCATAGGTGTGAATACCCATGTGATCCGATTCTAGGGCGGACAAAAAAAAAGTCCTGCTCCTTTTTGGTGCAGATGCGTTGCAATTTGAGCCAAACAAAATGTACGGCTCGGATCGCACCGCACACAAATCACATGTGATCCGCATAGGAATGCGGTGAGGTTCCTGTGCAAATCACATGCGATATACCGCACCGGAGAACTGTGGTCCCAGGCTCAGGGACTATGTTAAATGCACAAAGTTGCGTTTTTAGTTCTATAGACTTCAATGGAAATGCTGCAGAAAAGCATGTGGTGTGTTTTTTGATGCATTTTAAATCTGACTAGCAACAAGAAACACCCCCCCCCCCCTGCAAAATGCATCAAAAACACGTGCAAAATGCATTGCAGAAACGGATCAAATGCAAACTGCATAGGAGTGAACCGAGCCTTAGAAAAAAGTAAGGTATGATGCCAAGCATACTACGGCTTTTATACAGGGTGCTTGTTGGTTTTTTGTTTCCTTCAAAAATAACTAAAAGCAAAACTTTTTGTTAGTTGTGGATAGAGCAGAGAGGGATTAGAGCCCCTGTCAGGTTTTTATTGCTGTTTGTGCCCCCCCCCCCCCCCCCTTCCCGGTTAGGGAGATTCGCTCTCATTATTCGTCCTGTTTGCTGTTCTCACCAAAAGTGAAAGAAAATTCCAAATTTTGGGTTGTCACTAGAACAGGAAGGGAGGGGAAATTGTCTAATGGGGACACTATTTCTGGTGACAACCAGATTTTTCTCTCTGTTGAGGGAGTGTGTGTGTATGTATGTATGTACATACATACATACATACATACATACATACATACATACATACATACATTATATATAACTAAAAGCAAAACTTTTTGTTAGTTGTGGATAGATATACAGTGAGGCAAAAACGTATTTAGTCCCCACCAATTGTACAAGTTCTCCCACTTACAAAGATGAGAGAGGCCTGTAATTGGCATCATAGGGAGACCTCAACTATGAGAGACAAAATGAGAAAACAAATCCTGACAATCACATTGGCTGATCTGGAGAGAATTTATTTCCAAATTATGGTGGAAAATAAGTATTTGGTCAATATGAAAAGTTCATCTCAATACTTTGTTATATATCCTTTGTTGGCAATGACAGAGGTCAGACGTTTCCTGGAAGTCTTCACAAGGTTGGCACACACTGTTGCTGGTATGTTGGCCCATCCTCCATGCAGATCTCCTCTAGAGCAGTGATGTTTTGGGGCTGTCGCTGGGCAACAAGGACTTCCAACTCCCTCCAAAGGTTTTCTATGGGGTTGAGATCTGGAGACTGGCTAGGCCACTCCAGGACCTTGAAATGCTTCTTACGAAGCCACTCCTTCGTTGCCCGGGCGGTATGTTTGGGATCATTGTCATGTTGGATGACCCAGCCACGTTTCATCTTCAATGCCCTTGCTGATGGAAGGAGGTTTGCACTCAAAATCTCATGATACATGGCCCCATTCATTCTGTCCTGTACATGGATCAGTCGTCCTGGTCCCTTTGTGGAGAAACAGCCCCAAAGCATGATGTTGCCACCCCCATGCTTCACAGTAGGTATGGTGTTCTTTGGATGGAGCTCAGCATTCTCTCTCCTCCAAACACGACAAGTTGTGTTTCTACCAAACAGTTCTATTTTGGTTTCATCTGACCATATGACATTCTCCCAATCCTCTTCTGGATCATCCAAATGCTCTCTAACAAACTTCAGATGGGCCCAGACATGTACTGGTTAAGCAGGGGGACACATCTGGCACTGCAGGATCTGAGTCCCTGGCGGCGTAGTGTGTTACTGATGGTAGCCTTTGTTACGTTGGTCCCAGCTCTCTGCAGGTCATTCACTAGGTCCCCCCATGTGGTCCTGGGATTTTTGCTCAGCGTTCTTGTGATCATTTTGACCCCACGGGGTGAGATCTTGCGTGGAGCCCCAGATCGAGGGAGATTATCGGTGGTCTTGTATGTCTTCCATTTTCTAATTATTGCTCCCACAGTTGATTTGTTCACACCAAGCTGCTTGCCTATTGCAGATTCAGTCTTCCCAGCCTGGTGCAGGTCTACAATTTTGTTTCTGGTGTCCTTCGACAGCTCTTTGGTCTTCACCATAGTGGAGTTTGGAGTGTGACTGTTTGAGGTTGTGGACAGGTGTCTTTTATACTGATATCAAGTTCAAACAGATGCCATTGATACAGGTAATGAGTGCAGGACAGAGGAGCCTCTTATAGAAGAAGGTACAGGTCTGTGAGAGCCAAAAATCTTGCTTGTTTGTAGGTGACCAAATACTTATTTTCCACCATAATTTGCAAATAAATTCTTTCCAGATCAGCCAATGGGATTGTCTGGATTTGTTTTCTCATTTTGTCTCTCATAGTTGAGGTCTCCCTATGATGCCAATTACAGGCCTCTCTCATCTTTGTAAGTGGGAGAACTTGTACAATTGGTGGGGACTAAATACTTTTTTGCCCCACTGTGTGTATATATATATATATATATGTGTGTGTGTATATATATCTTTCACTTCCTGTTTCAGCTATGGGGCAGGAAGTGCCAATAAATCTCCCCAGTGGGACAGAGATGGCAAAAAAAAGTAGGCGGGGGCAATAACCCAACCCTATATTTTTCTATTCAAAAGAGGCAAAAAAAAGTGTTTTGCCTTTTTTTTAGTTCTATTGGAAATGTTTTCTCATCTGTTGAAGTTTCTTCATGACTGTTGCTGAAGAGCAGTGACAAGAGCGAAGAGGCATCTGAATCCGCTGGATACTGGGCTAGGTATACATTTCTTCTTTTGGAGACTATTTTTTGCTTTTTACATTTTTTTTATATATATATATATTTTTTTTTTTTTCCTGGTGACAGTTTCCTTTAGTGCTACTCAGGGGCGGACTGACAGCTCATGGGGCCCCCGGGCAATAGGGGATCATGGGGCCCCTGTGTCCTTGCCCAAACTTAAAAAAGTCTATGAAAAAGGTACCAGGGGCATCTCATGGGGCCCCCTATTGACCCCGGGCCCTCGGGCAGTGCTCGAGTTTCCAAATGGTCAGTCCGCCCCTGGTGGGACTAGTATACAGGTGATGGCTTCACACTTTGCGTTCGTCTCTGAACAGCGACTTTAGGAGAGGCTAACAGGTATCCAGAAGGGAATTCTGCTCTCCAGGGTTTCGGAATAGGAATGTCGTGTCGCAGACGCAGGCCTCGCATGGTTGCAGCACATATTCAGTTGACTGGGTAACATTCTGCAGAGGTACTGCCTGTCAGATGTGACTGGGGAGGGGGGTCATTTCTATACAACCCACTGTTAGGATAAGGGGGGGAGCAGTCATTGGGTGGTAAAAACATGCCTCCGCCATCTATTTTTACCACCCCCCTCTTCCCCAATCAAAAGCTTCAATAATTCCTAAAAAATGTGAAATTGTACCCGAATGATCTTTTGGAACTTGTTACGCCGTCCCATACTACAGACCGAGACTTTCTGCCTTTCCTGTAGATCACATCTTCGACAAGGTGAACCCTGAACTGCAAGCGCTGGGTCTGCGATGTGAATGCCTCGGAGGAGGGAAGATTGAACACAACAGTGCGGAGAAGAAGATCCGGGTGTACGGCGAATCTACCGTACGTATGTCTATGGGTGTGCACGATACAACAATACCATAGAGGGTGTGAGCCCATGCATTTTTTTTTTTTTTTTTATTTATTTTTTTTTTTAAATGGCGCCCCAATGTGCAGACAGGCTCAGCAAAGGCACCAGAGCCTCCGAATAGAGAGCCCATACATGCACGGGAAAAAAGTCAGGTTTGTTTTTTATTTATTGAGCCTGTATGTGCGTGTTGAGGGCCCCCTGACAAAAATAAATGCACAACAAATGCAGACGTTTCACCCCTCGTTCTCCTGAGGATTCTTCCCCAAAACCCCCCCCCCCCCCCCCCCCCCCCCCACCCCCCCGACCAGCCATTTTTTGCGATATGGCGCTGCGTTATTTTAACTGACAATTGCGCAGTTTCGCAACGCTGAACCCAAATGAAATTTACGCCCTTTTTTTTTCCCCCCGCAAAGCTTTCTTTCGGTGGTATTTGATCTCCTGTGCGTTTTTAATTTTTTGCTCTATAAACAAAAAAGATTTTGAGAAAAAAACAATATTTTTGACTTTTTGCTATTAACATGTCCTGTAAAAAAAATTTAAAAATCAAATTTCGTCATAAATTTCAGCCAAAATGTATTCTGCGACATGTCTTTGCTAAAAAAAAAAATCCCGATATGTGTAAATGAATTGGTTTACGTGAAAGTTATAGCGTCTACAAATGGCGGTAGAGATACTGGGATTTTTTTTTTTTTTTACTACTAATGGCGGTGATCAGAGACTTGTCATGGGACTGCGGCGGGCATTCTGACACTGGGGGGGGGGGGGGGGGGGGGAACTGACTTGGTGTCACTGACATCCCCAGTGACACCAATACAGTGATCAGTGCTAATAAAAAGCACTGACACTGTACTAATGGCACTGGGTAGGAAGGAGTTAACATCTGGGGCGATCAAAGGGTTAACTGTATGCTGTTTCACATTATGTGCTGTGTCTGTACTTTCCACTGTAAGCACACTGCTATTCAGAGCCATACAAAGCAGTGCACAGGAGCTGACAGGGGAGAGATCTGTATTGTTTATACACAGGTCTCTCCCCCGTTGCAGAGCAGTATTTCTGCTATAGCACAGAACTGGTTAAAGTGTTACTAAACCCACAACAGTACAATCAGTCTGTAGATGCAGGAAAGCATGCTTGTTATACTCACTGTGGGACCTAAGGGGTTAATCCTCTGCATTGTGTAAAGAGGCTGTTTGACCCGGCCTTCTCTGATCCTCCCCTTCTACTGCCCCAATCCATCTGCTGATAGAACAGAGCCTTGGGGGCACTCTGCGCATGCTCCGTTTGGTGTGTATTGCTAGAGTTTTTTTTTTTTTCTTTTTTGTTTCTTTGGGAAAGTGCATGTGATCAACATAGGGCCAATCAGTGCTGTCCAGACAGAGGGTCGGGGGTCATGCAGCCTCATAGGACAGTCAGAGAAGTGACTGCGGGGTGAATGCGGGGTCCTACAGAGCGGATATAGTGAATGCGGGGTCCGAGGACACGGATGATAGTGAATGCGGGGTCACAAGGAAACCGGATATAGTGAATGCGGGGTCCGGGGAGACTGGATATATTGAATGCCAGGTCCGGGGGGAGAGCGGATACAGTTATGCGGGGTCCGGGGAGAGCGGATATAGTGAATGCGGGGTCCGGGGAAACCGGATATAGTGAATGCGGGGTCCGGGGGAGAGCGGATATAGTGAATGCGGGGTCCGGGGAAACCGGATATAGTGAATGCGGGGTCCGGGTCGGGGTCCGAGGGAGAGCGGATATAGTGAATGCGGGGTCCGGGGAGAGCGGGTATAGGGAATGCGGGGTCCGGGGAGAGCGGATATAGTGAATGCGGGGTCCGGGGAAAGCGGATATAGTGAATGCGGGGTCCGGGGAAAGCGGATATAGTGAATGCGGGGTCCGGGGAGAGTGGATATAGTGAATGCGGGGTCCGGGGAGAGCGGGTATAGGGAATGCGGGGTCCGGGGAGAGCGGATATATAGTGAATGCGGGGTCCGGGGAGAGCGGATATAGTGAATGCGGGGTCCGGGGAGAGTGGATATAGTGAATGCGGGGTCCGGGGAGAGCGGGTATAGGGAATGCGGGGTCCGGGGAGAGCGGATACAGTTATGCGGGGTCCGGGGAGAGCGGATATAGTGAATGCGGGGTCCGAGGAGAGTGGATATAGTGAATGCGGGGGTCCGGGGAGAGCGGGTATAGTGAATGCGGGGGTCCGGGGAGAGCGGATACAGTGAATGCGGGGTCCGGGGAGAGCGGATATAGTGAATGCGGGGTCCGGGGAGAGCGGATATAGTGAATGCGGGGTCCGGGGAGAGCGGATATAGTGAATGCGGGGTCCGGGGAGAGCGGATATAGTGAATGCGGGATCCGGGGAGAGCGGATATAGTGAATGCGGGGTCCTGGGAGAGCGGATATAGTGAATGCGGGATCCGGGGAGAACGGATATAGTGAATGCGGGGTCCGGGGAGAGCGGATATAGTGAATGCGGGGTCCAGGGAGAGCGGATATAGTGAGTGCCGGGTCCGGGGAAACCGGATATAGTGAATGCGGGGGTCCGGGGAGGGCGGATATAGTGAGTGCGAGGAGAGCGGATCTATAGTGAATGCGAGGTCCGGGGAGAGCAGATATAGTGAGTGCGGGGTCCGGGGAGAGCGGATACAGTGAATGCGGGGTCCGGGGAGAGCGGATACAGTGAATGGGGGGTCCGGGGAGAGCGGATACAGTGAGTGCGGGGTCCGGGGAGAGCGGATACAGTGAGTGCGGGGTCCGGGGAGAGCGGATACAGTGAGTGCGGGGTCCGGGGAGAGCGGATACAGTGAGTGCGGGGTCCGGGGAGAGCGGATACAGTGAGTGCGGGGTCCGGGAAGAGCGGATACAGTGAGTGCCGGGTCCGGGGAGAGCGGATACAGTGAATGCGGGGTCCGGGGAGAGCGGATACAGTGAGTGCGGGGTCCGGGGAGAGCGGATATAGTGAATGCGGGGTCCGGGGAGACCGGATATACAGTGAATGCGGGGTCCGGGGAGAGCGGATACAGTGAATGCGGGGTCCGGGGAGAGCGGATACAGTGAATGCGGGGTCCGGGGAGACCGGATACAGTGAATGCGGGGTCCGGGGAGAGCGGATACAGTGAATGCGGGGTCCGGGGAGAGCGGATACAGTGAATGCGGGGTCCGGGGAGAGCGGATACAGTGAATGCGGGGTCCGGGGAGAGCGGATACAGTGAGTGCGGGGTCCGGGGAGAGCGGATACAGTGAGTGCGGGGTCCGGGGGAGAGCGGATACAGTGAGTGCGGGGTCCGGGGAGAGCGGATACAGTGAGTGCGGGGTCCGGGGAGAGCGGATACAGTGAGTGCGGGGTCCGGGGAGAGAGGATACAGTGAGTGCGGGGTCCGGGGAGAGCGGATACAGTGAGTGCGGGGTCCGGGGAGAGAGGATACAGTGAGTGCGGGGTCCGGGGAGAGCGGATACAGTGAGTGCGGGGTCCGGGGAGAGCGGATACAGTGAATGCGGGGTCCGGGGAGAGCGGATACAGTGAATGCGGGGTCCGGGGAGAGCGGATACAGTGAATGCGGGGTGGGGAGAGAACGAACATAGTGAACATGGGGTCTGGGGTTTAGTAACACATTAAGGGCCCAGTCACACATGTATGCTGTGGAATTAATGTGTTACCACAAAGTGTCTGCTCTATGTATGTTGCGGTGCCTTTCAGCCCGGGTTCACACTGATGCGGTGCGGAATTCTCAGTTTCTTCGTGAATTCCGCACCACATCAGAATCGCAGTTCATGCGAACCGCTGCGGGTGTGTATGCTAAGATAACAACTCCCTGAAATGGGTCCTGCATGTTTTGGGTGCGGTGTGATTAGAGCTGTACAAAATGTATGGCTCCAATCGCACCGCACACAAATCGCATGTGATGCACCGCACCGCACATATGTTATCCCGGACTAACTGATTATAAATTGTGAGCTAGAGTTCAACTTTGCTTCACTGGTGTATCTAAATCTAACACTCCCCCCTCAGACTGACAATGCTGCTGTGCCCTCTGTGTCCCTTCATCCAGAGTGGGGGTGCTCTAATACAGGAAGGAAGTCATTATTTGTGTCATTGCTAATTTCCTGATGAAATCAAAAATTTCGTCCTACAAATCGGTCATGAGAAGTCACCAAACTGCTTTGAAGTTGTATTTTTTTATCATCCTTTTTGTACTGATATGTGAGGAATAAAAATGTGATTTTGAATCCTTTGTAGGGATACGGCAGAGCAGATCACTCCATCACAGCCGAGAAACTGAGACGGGCTTTCAAGGACTATGAGGTGGTCTGGGAAGACAAGAAGTGACTCCACGCCTGGCTCTCTGTCCTCCACGCCATGTGCCTGGCTGAGGTCCTCAGCTCCATTCACCTACAATTATTTATGGACATTGTATAAAGAGTCACATAATAAATGAATTATTGATCATGCTAATAAAATGACCAGCGACAATGATTGATTGATTTTTCATGGGATCTTGTTTTGTTTCAACTTGTAGTTTAATGTCTTCTGCCCATGTACAGTGGATATAAAAAGTCTACACGCCCAGGGGCGGACTGACCATTTGGAAACTCGGGCACTGCCCGAAGGCCCGGGGTCAGTAGGGGGCCCCATGAGATGCCCCTGGTACCTTTTTCATAGGCTTTTTTGAGTGTGGGCAAGGACACAGGGGCCCCATGATCCCCTATTGCCCGGGGGCCCCATGAGTTGTCAATCCGCCCCTGTACATGCCCCTGTGAAAATGACAGGTTTCTTTGATGTAAAAAAAAATGAGACAAAGATAAATCATTTCAGAACTTTTTCCACCGTTAATAAACTGTACAACTCAGTTGAACAACAAACTGAAACCTTTTAGGTGGAGGGAAGTAAAAATAAAAAACTAAAATATGGTTGCATAAGTGTGCACACCCTTAAACTGATCTTGTGTTGAAGCCCCTTTTAATGTGATTCCAGCACTCAGTATTTTTGGGGAGGAGTCTATCAGCACGGCACATCCTGACTTGGCAATATTTGCCCGCTCTTCCTTGCAAAAACACTCCAAATCTGTCAGATTGCGAGGGCATCTCCTGTGCACAGTCCTCCACAGATCACCCCACAGATTTTCCATCAGATTCAGGTCTGGGCTCTGGCTGGGCCATTCCAACACTTCCATCTTCTTCTGGTGAAGCCATTCCTTTGTGGATTTGGATGGATGCTTTGAGGAGTCGTTCTCATGCTGAAAGATGAAGTTCCTCTTCATGTTCAGCTTTCTGCAGAAGCCGGAAGGTTTTGTGCCAATATTGACTGGTATTTGGAGCTGTTCATAATTCCCTCTACCTGGACTAAGGCCCAGTTCCAGCTGAAGGAAACAGCCCCAGAGCATGATGTGCCACCACCATGCTTCACGGTTGGTATGGTGTTCTTTTGGTGATGTGCAGTGTTTTTTTGCACCAAACATATCTTTTGGAATTATGGCCAAAACATTCACCCTTGGTTTCATCAGACCAGAACACATTTTCCCACATGCTTTTTGGAGACTTCAGATGTGTTTTTGCAAAATTTAGCCGGGCTTGGATGTTTTTCCTCGTAAGAAAAGGCTTCCGCTTTGCCATTCCACCCCATAGCCCAGAATACGGGAGATTGTTGTCACATGGACCACACAGCCAGTACTTGCCAGATATTCCTGCAGCTCCTTTCATATTGCTGTAGGCCTCTTGGCTGCCTCCCAGACCAGTTTTCTTCTCGTCTTTTCATCCATTTTGGAGAGACGTCCAGTTCTTGATGATGTCACTGTTGTGCCTTATTTTTTCCACTTGATGATGACGGTCTTCACTGTGTTCCATGGTATGAAAATAATCAAGACCTAGCGAGCGCACATGAAAGCGGCTATATGCACCAAAAGGAACCACAAAACCTTTCTGCAACAAATAATAATAGAATAAAGTGCAGCGCTAAAATAAATGATATCCTATAAGACACAAAATATGTTGTATATAAATTCATATGTAAAACACTCTATAGGAGGAGCCCTTGCACGCCTTGACGTCACGACGCCGGATCGGGGAGGTCCGGCGGCCACCATTTTCTGTATACTGCCCAGGATGCCAGGTGACCCGTCCAGGCCAAAGGAGGGGGTCATAGACCGGACCGGCATACCTATAATCTAACAAAGGGACCTCCCAGAGAGACATCCTAGTACCAGGCAGGACCTGCACGGAACCTCCGGCCATTTGAGATCTCTACTTTCGCATTAAGATTGCCCACTCACCAGCAGCGCAAGCTTTCCATTCTTTTCACCTGGATACCGGACCAGATTTCATACTGGGTTAATAGAGTCATCACATCATATCCAGCTTGGGACTTATTTTAATACTCATTTAGAGAGTATTTTACACACGAGTTTATATACAACATATTTTGTGTCTTATAGGATATCATTTATTTTAGCGCTGCACTTTATTCTATTATTATGTGTTCCATGGTATAATTAATGCCTTGGAAAATCTTTTGTACTTTTAACTCCAAGCACCGTCCCTCGGTTCCTACCCCTACTCACCTCTAAGCACCGTCCCTCGGTTCCTACCCTTCCTCACCTTCAAGCACCGTCCCTCGGTTCCTACCCTTCCTCACCTTCAAGCACCGTCCCTCGGTTCCTACCCTTCCTCACCTTCAAGCACCGTCCCTCGGTTCCTACCGCTACTCACCTTCAAGCACCGTCCCTCGGTTCCTACCGCTACCCACCTCCAAGCACCGTCCCTCTGGTTACCTACCGCTTCCTCACCTCCAAGCACCGTCCCTCTGTTACTACCCTTCCTCACCTCAAGCACCGTCCCTCTGTTCCTACCCTTCCCTCACCTCCAAGCACCGTCCCTTCGTTTCCTACCCCTACCCACCTCCAAGCACCGTCCTTCATTTCCTACCCCTACTCACCTCCAAGCACCGTCCTTCGTTTCCTACCCCTACCCACCTCCAAGCACCGTCCTTCATTTCCTACCCCTACTCACCTCCAAGCACCGTCCTTCGTTTCCTACCCGGTCCCACCTCCAAGCACCGTCCCTCGGTTCCACCCCCTACCAACCTCCAAGCACCGTCCCTCGGTTCCTACCCCTACCCACCTCCAAGCACAGTCCCTTGGTTCCTACCCCGTCCCACCTCCAAGCACCGTCCTTCGTTTCCTACCGCTACCCACCTCCAAGCACCGTCCTTCGTTTCCTACCCCTACTCACCTCCAAGCACCGTCCTTCGTTTCCTACCCCGTCCCACCTCCAAGCACCGTCCTTCGTTTCCTACCCCGTCCCACCTCCAAGCACAGTCCCTTGGTTCCTACCCCGTCCCACCTCCAAGCACCGTCCCTCGGTTCCACCCCCTAACAACCTCCAAGCACCGTCCCTCGGTTCCTACCCCTACCCACCTCCAAGCACAGTCCCTTGGTTCCTACCCCGTCCCACCTCCAAGCACCGTCCCTCGGTTCCACCCCCTACCAACCTCCAAGCACCGTCCCTCGGTTCCTACCCCTACCCACCTCCAAGCACAGTCCCTTGGTTCCTACCCCGTCCCACCTCCTTGTACCGCTTCTTTTAGAAGATACAGAGTCAAGTATCATTTTGTATGGAATTTGTTAATGATTACAAGAAAAGCAGTAAAATATATCCCCTGCAGCAAGTATCAATAGCCCCCACTCCAGCAACAGTAGATCTCCCCAGCAACAATGGACCCCTGCAACAAAATACCACCCCAGCAACAACATAACCCCAGCAGCCAAAAACAGATCTTCCCTCAACAGTAGATCCTTTCCAGCAACAACTGACCTCCTAGCAACATTAGATCCATCTTCAGCAAAAATAGACCACCAAGCAAAAATAGATCCCCTCCAGTGACAATAGGTCCCCCAGCAGCCAACAGCAATAGACCCTCCAGCGCTCTCCAGCACCACTTGCCATTACATACATTCAGTGCCGGAGATGCCGGAACTGCATTCCTGCTGAAAACAAGCCCTGGAAATAACAACTGTGCCCTGAGCAGTATCCAGAAAGAGTCTCTGGCTTGAATTCCTCCTGAAAAAAACAGAGCACTTCCATTCTGTAGCTTTCAGCCTCACAAGGAGCGAATGCCATCAAAGGCAAGTATGCAGCATGTGGTACACTTACCTTGCAAAGTGCTCCCTTCGAGCGCGGCAACATCCATGGTCTGCCTTGTAGCCCCATTGCCGGTGCTTCCCTCTTCACCTGGTCTTGTGTCAGGTTCCCGGAAACCTCGGCTTTCTTGATTGGCCGGGGTGACGCAACGTTGGCATTTACACTGGAGTTAATTAGGATGCCAGATTGTATACTGAACTGTGCAGAGGACTACTGATATCATGCAGGGGACATACAGACACTCTTCTACCAGATGTAGCACCCTCTTGTAAATAGGTTGGTAGGTAAATTTGGATTTGGTCTCCACTGTAGTCAGTGGAGCGGGGTTTGATTGGTCAGGGTTTCTCAGTTTTTTCACAGGCTGCTGCTCTGCTATCCCCCCCCCCCCCCCCCCCCCCCCCCCCCGCATTCTGGAACTCACTGGAGGTTTCCAGAACATAGTGAGTGAAGGAGAGGCAGAGGTTGCAGTTTGAATATTTATTGCAATTCCACCAATCCCTGGGGTGGTGTGCCCAGAAGATGGGGGAAGAGCCCGTGAGTAGTCTGAGGCCTGAGTGGAAGGGAGCAGAGTCCAGGGTCCAGCCATCTGGAGGAGGTCCCTGTGCGGGGGACTCTGCTCCCGGGGCAGAGAAGAGAGAAAGGAGAGAGGCCTCAGGAGTTTGCTGCAGGATTGTGGTTGTGCCCAGGGGCGGACTGACCATTTGGAAACTCGGGCACTGCCCGAGGGCCCGGGGTCAGTAGGGGGCCCCATGAGATGCCCCTGGTACCTTTATCATAGGCTTTTTTGACACACAGGGCCCCATGATCCCCTATTGCCCGGGGGCCCCATGAGTTGTCAGTCCGCCCCTGATTGCGCCCATGCAGGATGTGTGCAGAAAAGCTGATGTCTCTGCACACTGGTGTGAATGAGGCCTAAGTGATTTGGTGATTTCACTACTGTGTTGTTCACTGTTCTCCTTGCTGGAGAGGAAGCTGTATCTGAGGACCTGAGGTGCAAGAATCTTCCTGCTTCTGCTTCATCCATTCTGTGGATTTGTGCTACCTCTTCCTCTTGTACTGCTCTTTTTTCATTACCCCACCAGTCTTCAGCTCACCATTATCAGGGGGTAACTCTGGCATGAGGAAGCAAAGCCCTGCTCCTCTAGCAAGGTGGCCACCTATAAACACAGTGCAGAACAAAAGCATAGTAAATCACTAATGAGGAAAAATCAGCTTCTGAAGAGAAAAGCAAATACTGAGGACTTGTTCTTTGTCCATTACCGTATATACTCGAGTATAAGCCGACCCGAATATAAGCCGAGGTACCTAATTTTACCACAAAAAACTGGGAAAAACTATTGACTCGAGTATAAGCCCCATCATTAGTATCAGTGGGAGGAATAGTGCCCCATCATTGGTATCAGTGGGAAGAATAGTGCCCCATCGTTGGTGTCAGTGGGAGGAATAGTGCCCCATCGTTGGTATCAGTGGGAGGAATAGTGCCCCATCGTTGGTATCAGTGGGAGGAATAGTGCCCCATCGTTGTGTCAGTGGGAGGAATAGTGCCCCATCGTTGGTGTCAGTGGGAGGAATAGTGCCCCATCGTTGGTATCAGTGGGAGGAATAGTGCCCCATCGTTGGTGTCAGTGGGAGGAATAGTGCCCCATCGTTGGTGTCAGTGGGAGGAATAGTGCCCCATCGTTGGTATCACTGGGAGGAATAGTGCCCCATCGTTGGTGTCAGTGGGAGGAATAGTGCCCCATCGTTGGTGTCAGTGGGAGGAATAGTGCCCCATCGTTGGTGTCAGTGGGAGGAATAGTGCCCCATCGTTGGTGTCAGTGGGAGGAATAGTGCCCCATCATTGGTATCAGTGGGAGGAATAGTGCCCCATCGTTGGTGTCAGTGGGAGGAATAATGCTCCATCATTAGTATCAGTGACACCAATGATGCGGCACTATTCCTCCCACTGACACCAATGACACTTGCTGACCCCTGTTGCAGTATGGTGCTGCTGCAGCCAGCATATGTGGTTGCAGCAGCACCTCTGCACTGCACACTTACCGGCTTTTCCCTCACTCGATTTTCACGGGTCCGCTCTGCTCCGCCTCCTCGCCCGTGATTGGCCGCCTGTGTACCTTTCCTGAGCTACAGTTCTGGCGGCCAATCACCGGTGAGGAGGCGGAGCCGAGCGGCAGGAGTGAGGGAGTGGCCGGAGTGACGGAAGGAGCAGCGCTTCCTGGATGGATCATCGTGGGAGCCAGGTAAGAGACAGCAGCCCTCTGCTCACCCCTGTACGCGCCCCCCTTGACGGAGCCTCGCGCCCCCCCTGCAGACGTTGACTCGAGTATAAGCCGAGGGGGCCGTTTTTCAGCACAAAAAATGTGCTGAAAAACTCGGCTTATACTCGAGTATATACGGTACTTGCCTTTTTGGGCATAAATTCCACACTCCATCACCAGGCAGTGGTCTAAAGTCACTGACAAAACAAGACTGGTCAGGTATTTCACCTTGCAAATAATGTCTCTTAATATTTTTTGATCTGTTCTGGGTTGAAGGGATTCCATCCATCAATTTTTCTATGCATAATCACTCAAACCGGCCAAATAGCAAGCATGGCGGCAAGCTCTCTGCTGTAGGACAACATTATGGAGGATACAACATATAGTGGGGCAAAAAAGTATTTAGTCCCCACCAATTGTACAAGTTCTCCCACTTACAAAGATGAGAGAGGCCTGTAATTGGCATCATAGGGAGACCTCAACTATGAGAGACAAAATGAGAAAAAAAATCCAGACAATCACATTGGCTGATCTGGAAAGAATTTATTTGCAAATTATGGTGGAAAATAAGTATTTGGTCACCTACAAACAAGCAAGATTTCTGGCTCTCACAGACCTGTACCTTCTTCTTTAAGAGGCTCCTCTGTCCTGCACTCATTACCTGTATCAATGGCACCTGTTTGAACTTGTTATCAGTATAAAAGACACCTGTCCACAACCTCAAACATTCACACTCCAAACTCCACTATGGTGAAGACCAAAGAGCTGTCGAAGGACACCAGAAACAAAATTGTAGACCTGCACCAGGCTGGGAAGACTGAATCTGCAATAGGCAAGCAGCTTGGTGTGAACAAATCAACTGTGGGAGCAATAATTAGAAAATGGAAGACATACAAGACCACTGATAATCTCCCTCGATCTGGGGCTCCACGCAAGATCTCACCCCCCGTGGGGTCAAAATGATCACAAGAACCTAGTGAATGACCTGCAGAGAGCTGGGACCAATGTAACAAAGGCTACCATCAGTAACACACTACACCGCCAGGGACTCAGATCCTGCAGTGCCAGACGTGTCCCCCTGCTTAAGCCAGTACATGTCCGGGCCCGTCTGAAGTTTGCTAGAGAGCATTTGGATGATCCAGAAGAGGATTGGGAGAATGTCATATGGTCAGATGAAACCAAAATAGAACTGTGTGGTAGAAACGCAACTCGTCATGTTTGGAGGAGAGAGAATGCTGAGTTGCATCCAAAGAACACCATACCTACTGTGAAGCATGGAGGTGCCAACATCATGCTTTGGGGCTGTTTCTCCGCAAAGGGACCATGACGACTGATCCATGTACAGGACAGAATGAATGGGGCCACGTATCGTGAGATTTTGAGTGCAAACCTCCTATCAGCAAGGGCATTGAAAGAGTTTTGTCAGAAGTAGTGTAAATGGGGTCCGTGGGGTGGAGAACAGAGGTGGGATAGAGTGTTAGTGAGCGATCAGGGTATGGGTAAAGGGGTTTTGAGGCGGTAAAGCAGTGATCGGTGTAAATGTTAGGGTGGTGAGGGGATTAAAGGTGTGTGCAGGCAGTAGAGTTTTAAAAGGCTGGTTGGGTAATAGGATAGGGGAGGATCGTTGGGTATTGGGGGGGGGGATGGGGGGTGGGGGGGGGGGGGGGGGGGGGATACACGGAGGTGGGGGGGGGGGGGGTGTGGGGGGGTTTGGGGGGGGAGGGTGTGGGTGGGGTGTAATAAAAATAAAACAAATAAAACAAAAACAAACAACAAAAAACAAAAAAACAACAACAACACTAAATAAATTATATACCCAAAACAAAAAATAACACCAACCAAAACAGTTTTACACCCAAAAATAAAACACGGGTTTTTTTCGGAGGGTTTCGCTGCCAATTTCTTACAAAACAAACAGAAACAAATTTTTACAAACTTATTAGTGGTATTTCATCAACAAACTACAACAGCTACAATAATACCACGGACCCCAACCACCTCCCTCTCTAGGAACTACTACCGCAAATTCTGAAGGTCCTCAGGAGGGTTCTTATATATCCCGCAGCTACAAAATAAACATAAAGACACCAATAACTCCTGGATTACCAGTTCAGGGTCCTGGTTTGTGTAACTGCTAAAAACCTAAAACATATATAAGCGCGACAAACACCATCAAATACTAGAACGATACGGATACAAACACTATTATGCTGGTAATCTGTCATCTACCTAACACTCGGCTTGTCACTTCTATAACTAACTATCAACTATGTCTTAATTCATCACTCACTTCACTCACTACAAGCTAAACTTGTTAGCACCTGTTACATTATATATAAAACCACATTATGTATGTGCATTCCAACTGGAGGAAATATCAACGTATAGTAAAACATCAGTTTCTGATTTACAACACTAATGGGGTACATCTTCCCTATTTATTGAGTTCTTTCTCATACTATTCTTAACCCAGCCTCTAATGCTAGGCTATTTTCTAGATTATATAGGAAACATATAGGCTAATTTTTATAATTATTTATTAAAATTTCGCTCTCCGACGATCTAAAAAAACAAAAATTCTCAAAATCGGGGCTTAAAAAAATTTTATTAAAATCTCGCACCAAATTTAAAACGGGGTTAAAATTTTCTGTACGGCTATACAGAGAAAAAACAGAAAGAAGAGTTTTAAGGAAAATAAAAAAAACAAAAAAGAAAAACAAAAATTAAAAAAAAAAAAAAAAAAAAAATAAAAAAAGCAAAAATAAAATGGTTGAAAATAAAAAAAAAAAAACGAAAAAAAAAAATAAAAAACGCAAAAAGAAAAACTTAAGAACAGGATACGTGTAAAAAAAAATAATTCAAAAAAAAATAAAGAAATTAAAAAAAAAATTATGGCTAAAAAAATTTAAAAAAAAAAATTAAATAAAAAAAAAAAATTCAAAAAAAAATAGTATAAAAAAAAAAATTCTATAAAAAAAAAAATAAAAAAAAAAAAAAAAAAAAAAAAAACAACTATTAAAAAAAAAAAAAAAAAAAAAAAAAAAAAAAATAAAAAAAAAAAAAAAAAAAAAAAAAAAAAAAAAAAAAAAAAAAAAAAACAAAAAAAAAAAAAAACAAAAAAAAAAAAAAAAAAAAAAATAAATAAAAATAAAAAAAAATAAAAAAAAAAATGCAAAACCTAAAAATGTTTCATAATCATAAAAAACATGTCACAAAAAAATAAAAAATAATAAAAAACTCTAAGAAACTAAAGAAAAATAAAAAAAATACAAAGAAAGTAAAACAAAGAATATTAAACCCATGAACGAAAATATAACTATAAGTAATTTAAAAAAAAATCCGGGTACGAAAAAAATACGGAAATTTTTAAAAATCTCTACTCAGTCTAAGGTGCTGGTAATAAACTTTCACTGGCTCTTAAAATCTTATCAAACAAATAATAACTAAAAAAATGTAGCCATCTAATGTATCTTTTAAATCTTAAAAAAAAGAAACATAATAAAAAATACGGTTTATTCTAAAAACAATTAACCCGTAAAAAATAAATATTAAAAAATTATCATCAAATTACAATTAAA